TCACTCACCCACTCACCCACACACTCACCCACTCACCCACCCACTCACCCACCCACTCACCCACCCACTCACCCACTCACTCACTCACCCACTCACTCACCCACTCACCCACTCACCCACCCACCCACTCACCCACTCACCCACTCACTCACCCACTCACCCACTCACCCACCCACTCACCCACTCACCCACTCACTCACTCACCCACCCACTCACCCACTCACTCACACACTCACACTCACCCACTCACTCACCCACTCACTCACTCACCCACTCACTCACTCACCCACCCACCCACTCACTCACCCACCCACCCACCCACCCACTCACTCACCCACCCACCCACTCACTCACCCACCCACTCACTCACCCACCCACCCACTCACCCATTGTGTCTGCCCCACCCCCGCAGTCTCTGACAGCCTTGCCGAGTTCCTATTGGCCGAGAGATGCACGCAGACTCCGCCCACAAGAGATCAAAGTTCAACCGCCGCTCATACCGACAAAGCACTAGGAGGGTTTTCCCACAATGCACTTCGACCACACACCCACAATGCAATCGGTCTGCATACCCACAATGCAATTGGTCCCCATCCTCACAATGCAGTTGGACCACTCACCCACAATGCAATTGGACCACATACCCACAATGGGATTGGATCCCATACCCACAATGCACTTCGACCGCACACCCACAATGCAATTGGATTCCATACCCACAATGGAATTGTAGCACATACCCACAATGCAATTGGATCCCATACCCACAATGCAATTGGATCCCATACCCACAATGCAATTGGATCCCATACCCACAATGGGATTGGACCACATACCCACAATGCAATTGGATCCCATACCCACAATGCACTTCGACCGCACACCCACAATGCAACTGGATTCCGTACCCACAATGCACTTGGGCCACGCACCCACGTTGCGCCTGCAAGCCGTGGATGGCGGCCGCCGTCAGGGGGCGTGGCCACGTGCGGGGGCGTGGTAACGGTCGGGGGCGTGGCCCCGGGCGGGGGCGTGGCCACGGGCGGCCCCGCCCCCGGGGCGCTCTCCATGGAGGAGCTGCGCCTCTACGCCTCCCTCGAGCGCATCGACGCCCGGCTCCACGGGGCGGGGCGGGGCGGGGGAGTGGGCGGGGCGGGGGGGTGGGCGGAGCGGGGGGGTGGGCGGGGCAGGGGGAAGCAGCTGCCAATGGGAGTGCCCCTAGGGCTAGAGCAAAGCGCCCACCGCTACTGACAGAAGCCTCAGGGGCAGCCCCAGTGACAGCTGCCCCTAGGGCTAGACCACAGCGCCCACCGCTACTGACAGCAGCCTCAGGGGCAGCTGTCACTGGGGGTGCCCCTAGGGCCAGACCCACAGCGCCCACCGCTACTGACAGCAGCCCCAGGGGCAGCTGCTACTGGGGGTGCCCCTAGGGCTAGAGCAAAGCGCCCACCGCTACTGACAAGCCCCAGGGGCAGTCCCAGTGATAGCTGCCCCTAGGGCTAGACCACAGCGCCCACCGTTACTGACAGAAGCCCCAGGGGCAGCTGTCGCTGGGGCTGCCCCTAGGGCTAGACCACAGCGCCCACCGCTACTGACAGAAGCCTCAGGGGCAGCTGTCGCTGGGGGTGCCCCTAGGGCTAGAGCAAAGCGCCCACCGCTACTGACAGAAGCCTCAGGGGCAGCTGTCACTGGGGGTGCCCCTAGGGCTAGACCACAGCGCCCACCGCTACTGACAGCAGCCCCAAGGGCAGCTGTCGCTGGGGGTGCCCCTAGGGCTAGAGCAAAGCGCCCACCGCTACTGACAGCAGCCCCAGGGGCAGCTGTCACTGTGGGTGCCCCTAGGGCTAGACCACAGCGCCCACCGCTACTGACAGAAGCCTCAGGGGCAGCTGTCTCTGGGGGTGCCCCTAGGGCTAGAGCAAAGCGCCCACCGCTACTGACAGCAGCCCCAGGGGCAGCTGTCGCTGGGGGTGCCCCTAGGGCTAGACCACAGCGCCCACCACTACTGACAGAAGCCCCAGGGGCAGCCCCAGTGACAGCTGCCCCTAGGGCTAGACCACAGCGCCCACCGCTACTGACAGAAGCCTCAGGGGCAGCCCCAGTGACAGCTGCCCCTAGGGCTAGACCAAAGCGCCCACCGCTACTGACAGCAGCCCCAGGGGCAGCTGTCACTGGGGGTGCCCCTAGGGCTAGACCACAGCGCCCACCGCTACTGACAAGCCCCAGGGGCAGCCCCAGTGATAGCTGCCCCTGGGGCTAGACCACAGCGCCCACCGCTACTGACAGCAGCCTCAGGGGCAGCTGTCACTGGGGGTGCCCCTAGGGCCAGACCCACAGCGCCCACCGCTACTGACAGCAGCCCTAGGGGCAGCTGTTACTGGGGGTGCCCCTAGGGCTAGAGCAAAGCGCCCACCGCTAATGACAACAGCCCCAGGGGCAGCCCCAGTGACTGCTGCCCCTAGGGCCAGAGCCACAGCGCCCACCGCTACTGATAGCAGCCCCAGGGGCAGCTGCCGCTGGGAGTCACCCTAGGCAGGTTGGTGGAATTTCCTCTGAGATCCTGATTGTAAATGTTTACCGGGTTTATTTTTTGTTGTTGTTGTGACTGAATCGATTCTATTAAAAAAAACATTTAAAAAAAATATATATATTATTTTATATATATTAAAAAAAGTGAAATTAATAAAATTCTACTACTGATGGTGAAATTCCCGGTCTGGAGGTTGTTTGCTTTGTGCTGATGCTGCTGATGTCTGGGTGGCCCAGAAGTCAGGACACATGCCCCCCCCCCCCCACCAATCCATTGACCTCCCCCTACCCAACATGGCCCCCACCCCCCATTCTATTGACCTCCCCCTACCCAACATGGCCCCCACCCCCCATTCTATTGACCTCCCCCTACCCAACATGGCCCCCACCCCCCCATTCTATTGACCTCCCCCTACGCAACATGGCCCCCCCCCCCCCCATTCTATTGACCTCCCCCTACGCAACATGGATCCCCCTCCACATGCCCCGCCTTTCCCACTCTATTGAACATCCCCCTAACCAACATGGCCAACCCCACATCTAGTGACCCTACCCAACATGGCCACAATCCCATCTATTGAACTCCCCCCTATCCAACATGGCCCACCTTTTCAACTCGATTGAACATCCCCCTAACCAACATGGCCACCCCCACATCTATTGACCCTCCCCCTACCCAACATGGCCACCCCCACATCTATTGACCCTTACCCAACATGGCCAACCCCACATCTATTGACCCTCCCCCTACCCAACATGGCCACCCCCACATCTATTGACCCTCCCCCTACCCAACATGGCCCACCTTTCCAACTCTATTGAACATCCCCTTACCCAACATGGCCACCCCCCATCTATTTACCTCCCCCTACCCAACATGGCCCACCTTTCCAACTCTATTGAACCTCCCCCTACCCAACATGGCCACCCCCCCCCCCCCCAATCTATTGAACCGCTCCCGACCCAACATGGCCCACCTTTCACACTCTATTGAACATCCCCCTACCCAATATGGCCACCCCCACATCTATTGACCCTCCCCCTACCCAACATGGCCCACCTTTCCCACTCTATTGAACCTCCCCCTAACCAACATGGCTACCCCACATATTTTGACCCTACCCCTACCAAACATGCCCCCCCCCCCAAATCTATTGACCCTCCCCCTACCCAACATGAATCCACTCCATTGACCCCCTACCCAACATGGCCACCCCCCCCCCCCCATCTATTGAACCTCCCCCTAACCAACATGGCCACCCCCACATCTATTAACCCTCCCCCTACCCAACATGGCCACAATCCCATCTATTGAACTCCCCCCTACCCAACATGGCCCACCTTTCCCACTCTATTGAACATCCCCCTACCCAAAATGGCCACCCCCCATCTATTGAACTTTCCCTACCCAACATGGCCACTCCCCCATACATTGAACCTCCCCCTAACCAACATGGCCACCCCAACATTTATTGACCCTCCCCCTACCGAACATGGCCACCTCCCCATCTATTGACCCTACCCAACATGGCTACAATTCCATCTATTGACCCTACCCCTACCCAACATGGCCCACCTTTCACACTCTATTGAACCTCCCCCTACCCAACATGGCCACCCCCCCCACATCTATTGACCGTCCCCCTACCCAACATGGCCCAACTTTCCAACTCTTTTAAACATCCCCCTACCCAACATGGCCCACCTTTCACACTCTATTGAACATCCCCCTACCCAACATGCCCCCCCCCAATCTATTGACCTCCCCCTACCCAACATGGATCCCCTCCACTCCATTAACCCCCTACCCAACATGGCCACTCCCCCCCCCCCATCTATTGAGCTCCCCCTACCCAACATGGATCCCCTCCACTCCATTGACCCCCTACCCAACATGGCCACTCCCCCCCCCCCCCCCCCCATCTATTGAACTCCCCCTACCCAACAAGCCCCACCTTTCCCACTCTATTGAACCTCCCCCGACCCAACATGGCCACCCCTCCCCCCCACATCTATTAACCATCCCCAACATGGCTACAATTCCATCTATTGAACATCCCCCTACCCAACATGGCCACCCCCACATCTATTGACCCTCCCCCTACCCAACATGGCCACACCCCCCCCACCCCATCCATTGAACATCCTCCTACCCAACATGGCCCACCTTTCCCACTCTCTTGAACCTCCCCCTAACCAACATGGCCAACTCCCCCATCCATTGAACCTCCCCCGACCCAACATGGCCCACCTTTCCCACTCTCTTGAACCTCTCCCTAACCAACATGGCCACGCCCACATCTATTGACCCTCCCCCTACCCAACATGGCCACCCCCACATCTATTAAACCTCCACCTACCCAACATGGCCAAACCTTTCCACCTCTATTGGACCTCTCCCTATACAACATGGCCACCTTATAAACATTTTTATAATTACGTCACGTCCGCTCCCCCACCCTCCACCGCACCCCCCTACCGACGTCACTTCTACCCGCACCACCAACACCCTTCCACCACAGCTGTCAGTCGGCGGGCCTTCGCTCCTGTCCGCCTTACCCTCGCCATTGCTTCGCGGCTGTCGTTGTGGGAAGCGATGCTCTCTCTGCTGCACCGAGCCACGGCGGCGGCCACGGGGGCGCGGGTGAGGACACGGGGGGAGCTGAGGCGTTGAGGAGGAAGGGGGGGGGGAAGGCGTTGGGGTTTAGGGTCACCTTGGGGGGTTGGTCGGGGTTGATGAAGCCTCGGGCTTTCCTAGTTTCCCTACCGAGGACGCGAGGGGTCGAGCGGTAGGGGATTGGTGTTGGTGGGGGGGTGGTCGGGGTTGATGAGGCCTCGGGCTTGCCTAGTTTCCCTACCGAGGACGCGAGGGGTCGAGCGGTAGGGGATTGGTGGTGGTGGGGGGGGGGGTGGTCGGGGTTTATGAGGCCTCGGGCTTGCCTAGTTTCCCTACCGAGGACGCGAGGGGTCGAGCGGTAGGGGATTGGTGGTGGTGGGGGGGGGGGGGTCGGGGTTGATGAGGCCTCGGGCTTGCCTAGTTTACCTACCGAGGACGCGAGGGGTCGAGCGGTAGGTGATTGGTGGGGGGGTTGATGAAGCCTCGGGCTTGCCTAGTTTCCCTACCGAGGACGCGAGGGGTCGAGCGGTAGGGGATTGGTGGTGGTGGGGGGGGGGGGGTCGGGGTTGATGAGGCCTCGGGCTTGCCTAGTTTACCTACCGAGGACGCGAGGGGTCGAGCGGTAGGTGATTGGTGGGGGGGTTGATGAAGCCTCGGGCTTGCCTAGTTTCCCTACCGAGGACGCGAGGGGTCGAGCGGTAGGGGATTGGTGGGGGGGGGGGTGGGGGGTCGGGGTTGATGAAGCCTCGGGCTTGCCTAGTTTCCCTACCGAGGACGCGAGGGGTCGAGCGGTAGGGTATTGGTGGGGGGGGGGGGGGTTGATGAAGCCTCGGGCTTGCCTAGTTTCCCTACCGAGGACGCGAGGGGTCGAGCGGTAGGTGATTGGTGGGGGGGGGGTGATGAAGCCTCGGGCTTGCTTAGTTTCCCTACCGAGTACGTGAGGGGTCGAGCGGTAGGGGATTGGTGGGGAAGGGGTGGTTGATGAATCACCGATGGTAGTGGTGGTTCATATTCTTTGGGTCTTTCGGTAAAGTCACGTAGATATGAATTCCTGCAGTCACGAAAGCTTTAAGTCGTGATGGTGGTTGTTGATGGTAGTGATGATGGTAGTGGTGATGGTGGTGACAGGTGATGGTGGTGATGATGGTGGTGGTGATGGTGGTGATGGTAGTGGTGGTGATGATGGTGGTGATGATGGTAGTGGTGATGGTGGTGATGATGGTAGTGGTGATGGTAGTGGTGGTGATGATGGTGATGATGGTAGTGATGATGGTGGTGGTGATGGTGGTAGTGATGATGGTAGTGGTGGTGATGGTAGTGATGATGGTGGTGATGATGGTGGTGATGATGGTGGTGGTGATGGTGGTGATGATGGTGGTGGTGATGGTAGTGGTGGTGATGATGGTGGTGATGATGGTAGTGGTGATGGTGGTGATGATGGTAGTGGTGGTGATGATGGTGGTGATGATGGTAGTGATGATGGTGGTGGTGATGGTAGTGATGGTGATGGTAGTGACAGGTGATGGTGGTGATGGTGGTAGTGATGATGGTAGTGGTGATGGTGGTGACAGGTGATGGTGGTGATGGTAGTGATGATGCTGATGTTGCTGCTGATGATGTTGCTGATGATGATTGTGCTGATGATGATTGTGCTGATGATTGTGCTGATGGTGATTGAGCTGCTGATGATGGTGCTGATGATGATGTTGCTGATGGTGCTGATGTTGCTGATGTTGCTGATGATGATGATGTTGCTGATGATGTTGCTGATGGTGCTGATGATGATGATGTTGCTGATGATGGTGGTGCAGGCCGCCAGGGTTGTTCTGTCTCAGCGTTCTTACTCCGATTTCGCCAGTGAGGCCACCTTCGACATTAAGGTGAGACACACACACACACACCTCTGTCTCTCTCTGTCTCCCTGTCTCTGTCTCCCTGTCTCTGTCTCTCTGTGTCTCTCTGTCTCTCTCCCTGTCTCTGTCTCTCTCTGTCTCTCTGTGTCTCTCTGTCTCTCTCCCTGTCTCTGTCTCTCTCTGTCTCTCTGTGTCTCTCTGTCTCTCTCTGTCTCTCTCCCTGTCTCTGTCTCTCTGTGTCTCTCACACACAAACACACCTCTCTGTCTCCCTGTCTCTGTCTCTCTCTGTCTCTCTGTGTCTCTCTGTCTCTCTCCCTGTCTCTGTCTCTCTCTGTGTCTCTCACACACACACACCTCTCTGTCTGTCTCTGTCTCCCTGTCTCTGTCTCTCTCTGTCTCTCTGTGTCTCTCTGTCTCTCTCCCTGTCTCTGTCTCTCTGTGTCTCTCACACACACACACACCTCTCTGTCTGTCTGTGTCTCCCTGTCTCTGTCTCTCTCTGTCTCCCTGTCTCTCTCTGTCTCTCTCTGTCTCTGTCTCTCTCTGTCTCTCTGTGTCTCCCTGTCTCTGTCTCTCTCTGTCTCTCTGTCTCTCTGTCTCTGTCTCTCTCTGTCTCTCTGTGTCTCCCTGTCTCTGTCTCTCTCTGTCTCTCTCTGTCTCTGTCTCTCTCTGTCTCTCTGTGTCTCCCTGTCTCTGTCTCTCTCTGTCTCTCTGTCTCTCTGTCTCCCTGTCTCTCTCTGTCTCTCTCTGTCTCTCTCTCTCTCTGTCTCTGTCTCTCTCTGTCTCTCTCTGTCTCTCTGTGTCTCCCTGTCTCTCTCTGTCTCTCTCTGTCTCCCTGTCTCTCTCTGTCTCTCTCTCTGTCTCTCTCTGTCTCTCTCCCTGCCTCTGTCTCTCTCTGTCTCTCTGTGTCTCTCTGTCTCTCTGTCTCTGTCTCTCTCTGTCTCTCTCTGTCTCTCTGTCTCCCTGTCTCTCTCTGTCTCTCTCTCTGTCTCTGTCTCTCTCTGTCTCTCTCTGTCTCTCTGTGTCTCTCTGTCTCTCTCTGTCTCCCTGTCTCTCTCTGTCTCTCTCTCTGTCTCTCTCTGTCTCTCTCCCTGCCTCTGTCTCTCTCTGTCTCTCTCTGTCTCTGTCTCTCTCTGTCTCTGTCTCTATATGTCTCTCTCTGTCCCTCTGTCTCTCTCTGTCTCTATATGTCTCTCTCTGTCTCCCTGTCTCTCTCTATCTCTCTGTCTCTGTCTATGTCTCTGTCTCTCTCTGTCTCTCTTTCCCTGTCTCTCTCTGTCTCCCTGTCTCTCTCTGTCTCTCTGTGTCTCTCCCTCTCTCTCTGTTTCTCTCTTTGTCTCTGTGTATTTCTCTCTGCCTCTGTCTCTCTGTCTCTCTTTATCTGTCTCTGTCTCTTCTCTGTCTCTCTGTCTCTCTGTCTGTATCTCTGTCTCTCTGTCTCTCTCTGTCTCTTCTCTGTCTCTCTGTCTCTCTGTCTGTATCTCTGTCTGTATCTCTGTCTCTCTCTGTCTCTCTCTGTCTCTCCCTCTCTCTCTCTGTTTCTCTCTTTGTCTCTGTATCTTCTCTGTCTCTCTGTCTGTATCTCTGTCTCTCTCTCTCTCTCTGTCTCTGTGTGTCTCTCTGTCTCTCTGTCTGTATCTCTGTCTCTCTCTCTCTGTCTCTGTGTGTCTCTCTGTCTCTCTGTCTGTATCTCTGTCTCTCTCTCTCTCTGTCTCTGTGTGTCTCTCTGTCTCTCTGTCTGTATCTCTGTCTCTCTCTCTCTGTCTCTGTGTGTCTCTCTGTCTCTCTGTCTGTATCTCTGTCTCTCTCTCTGTCTCTGTGTGTCTCTCTGTCTCTCTGTCTGTATCTCTGTCTCTCTCTCTCTGTCTCTGTGTGTCTCTCTGTCTCTCTGTCTGTATCTCTGTCTCTCTCTCTCTCTGTCTCTGTGTGTCTCTCTGTCTCTCTGTCTGTATCTCTGTCTCTCTCTCTGTCTCTGTGTGTCTCTCTGTCTCTCTGTCTGTATCTCTGTCTCTCTCTCTCTGTCTCTGTGTGTCTCTCTGTCTCTCTGTCTGTATCTCTGTCTCTCTCTCTCTCTGTCTCTGTGTGTCTCTCTGTCTCTCTGTCTGTATCTCTGTCTCTCTCTCTCTGTCTCTGTGTGTCTCTCTGTCTCTCTGTCTGTATCTCTGTCTCTCTCTCTCTGTCTCTCTCTGTCTCTCTCTCTGTCTCTCTCTGTCTCTGTGTCTCTTTCCCTGTCACTGTCTCTCTCTCTGTCTCTGTCTCTCTCACTGTCTCTCTCTCTCTGTCTCTCTCTCTCTCTCTCTGTCTCTCTGTCTCTCTCTGTCTGTGCCTCTGTGTCTCTGTCTGTATCTCTCTCTGTCTCTGTCTCTCTGTCTCTGTGTATCTCTCTCTCTGTCTGTATCTCTGTCTGTATCTTTGTCTCTCTCTCTGTCTCTGTGTTTCTCTCTGTCTCTCTCAGCGTGTCTCTCGCCGTGTCTCTCTGTGTCTCTCTCAGTGTCTCTTTCTGGCTGTCTCTGTGTGTGTGTCTCTCTTGCTGTGTCTCTCTCTGTCTCTGTGGATCTCTCAGTCCCTCTCTCTCTCTGTCCCTGTCTCTCTCTGTATGTCTCTCTGTGTGTCTCTCTCTGTCTCTCTGTGTCTATCTCTGTCTGTTTCTTTGTCTCTGTCTCTTTGTGTGTCTCTCTGTCGCTCTCTCCTCGTGTCTCTCTCTCCCCCCTGTGTCTCTCTCCCCCCCCCCCCCCCCGTGTCTCTCTCTCCCCGTGTCTCTCTCTCCCCCCATGTCTCTCTCTCCCCGTGTCTCTCTCTCCCCGTGTCTCTCTCTCCCCGTGTCTCTCTCTCCCCGTGTCTCTCTCCCCCCGTGTCTCTCCCCCCCCGTGTCTCTCTCTCTCCCCGTGTCTCTCTCTCCCCGTCTCTCTCCCCCCCCGTGTCTCTCTCCCCCCGTGTCTCTCCCCCCGTGTCTCTCCCCCTGTGTCTCTCTCTCCCCGTGTCTCTCTCCCCCGGTGTCTCTCTCCCCGCGTGTCTCTCTCCCCGTGTCTCTCTCTCCCCGTGTCTCTCTCTCCCCGTGTCTCTCTCCCCCCGTGTCTCTCTCTCCCCGTGTCTCTCTCCCCGTGTCTCTCGCCCCGTGTCTCTCCCCCCGTGTCTCTCTCTCCCCGTGTCTCTCTCCCCGTGTCTCTCTCTCCCCGTGTCTATCTCTCCCCGTGTCTCTCTCTCCCCGTCTCTCTCCCCGTGTCTCTCTCTCTCCCCTTGTCTCTCTCTCCGTGTCTCTCTCTCCCCGTGTCTCTCTCTCCCCGTGTCTCTCTCACCATGTCTCTCTCTCCCCGTGTCTCTCTCTCCCCGTGTCTCTCTCTCCCCGTCTCTCTCCCCGTGTCTCTCTCTCCCCGTGTCTCTCTCCCCGTGTCTCTCTCGCCCCGTGTCTCTCTCTCCCCGTCTCTCTCCCCGTGTCTCTCTCTCCCCGTGTCTCTCTCCCCGTGTCTCTCGCCCCGTGTCTCTCCCCGCATCTCTCTCTCTCCCCGTGTCTCTCTCTCCCCGTGTCTCTCTCTCACTGTCTCTCTCTCCCCGTGTCTCTCTCTCCCCGTCTCTCTCCCCGTCTCTCTCTCTCTCCCCGTGTCTCTCTCTCACCGTCTCTCTCTCCCCGTGTCTCTCTCTCTCTCGCTCTCCCCACGTGTCTCTCTCTCTCTCTCACCGTGTCTCTCTCTCTCTCGCTCTCCCCACGTGTCTCTCTCTCTCTCTCACCGTGTCTCTCTCCCTCCCCGTGTCTCTTCCCCAGCCATGCGAGGTGCACAAACTGGAGTCAGCCCCTCCTGTACGAGCGACATTGACGCGTGAACAGGCGCTACTGTCTCTCTCTCTCACTGTGTCTCTCTCTCTCACCGTGTCTCTCTCTCTCACCGTGTCTCTCTCTCTCTCACCGTGTCTCTCTCTCTCTCACCGTGTCTCTCTCTCTCTCTCCCTCTCTCTCCCCACGTGTCTCTCTCCCCGTGTCTCTCTCTCCCCGTGTCTCTCTCTCCCCGTGTCTCTCTCTCTCTCTCTCACCGTGTCTCTCTCTCTCTCTCTCTCTCTCCCCGTCTCTCTCTCTCACCGTGTCTCTCTCTCTCTCTCTCTCCCTCTCTCTCCCCACGTGTCTCTCTCCCCGTGTCTCTCTCTCCCCGCGTCTCTCTCTCCCCGCGTCTCTCTCTCTCTCTCCCCGTGTCTCTCCCTCACTGTGTCTCTCTCTATCTCTCTCTCTCTCCCCGTGTCTCTCTCTCTCCCCGTGTCTCTCTCTCCCTCTCTCTCCCCACGTGTCTCTCTCCCCATGTCTCTCTCTCCCCGTGTCTCTCTCTCTCTCTCTCTCACTGTGTCTCTCTCTCTCCCCACGTGTCTCTCTCCCCACGTGTCTCTCTCCCCGTGTCTCTCTCTCCCCGCGTCTCTCTCTCCCCGTGTCTCTCTCTCTCTCTCTCTCACTGTGTCTCTCTCTATCTCTCTCTCTCTCCCCGTGTCTCTCTCTCTCTCCCCGTGTCTCTCTCTCTCACCGTCTCTCTCTCCCCGTGTCTCTCTCTCTCCCTCCCCGTGTCTCTTCCCCAGCCATGCGAGGTGCACAAACTGGAGTCAGCCCCTCCTGTACGAGCGACATTGACGCGTGAACAGGCGCTACTGTCTCTCTCTCTCACCGTGTCTCTCTCTCACCGTGTCTCTCACCCCGTGTCTCTCTCTCTCACCGTGTCTCTCTCTCTCACCGTGTCTCTCTCTCACCGTGTCTCTCTCTCTCACCGTGTCTCTCTCTCTCACCGTGTCTCTCTCTCTCTCTCCCTCTCTCTCCCCACGTGTCTCTCTCACCGTGTCTCTCTCTCCCCGCGTCTCTCTCTCTCACCGTGTCTCTCTCTCTCACCGTGTCTCTCTCTCTCTCTCCCTCTCTCTCCCCACGTGTCTCTCTCCCCGTGTCTCTCTCTCCCCGTGTCTCTCTCTCCCCGCGTCTCTCTCTCTCTCTCTCACCGTGTCTCTCTCTCACTGTGTCTCTCTCTATCTCTCTCTCTCTCCCCGTGTCTCTCTCTCTCCCCGTGTCTCTCTCTCCCTCTCTCTCCCCGTGTCTCTCTCTCCCCGTGTCTCTCTCTCCCCGTGTCTCTCTCTCTAACTCTCTCTCTCCCCGTGTCTCTCTCTCACCGTGTCTCTCTCTCTCCCTCTCTCTCCCCACGTGTCTCTCTCCCCGTGTCTCTCTCTCTCACCGTGTCTCTCTCCCTCCCCGTGTCTCTTCCCCAGCCATGCGAGGTGCACAAACTGGAGTCAGCCCCTCCTGTACGAGCGACATTGACGCGTGAACAGGCGCTACTGTCTCTCTCTCTCACCGTGTCTCTCTCTCTCTCACCGTTTCTCTCTCTCTCTCACCGTGTCTCTCTCTCTCTCTCCCTCTCTCTCCCCACGTGTCTCTCTCCCCGTGTCTCTCTCTCCTCGTGTCTCTCTCTCTCACCGTGTCTCTCTCTCTCTCTCCCTCTCTCTCCCCACGTGTCTCTCTCCCCGTGTCTCTCTCTCTCCCCGTGTCTCTCTCTCTCACCGTGTCTCTCTCCCTCCCCGTGTCTCTTCCCCAGCCATGCGAGGTGCACAAACTGGAGTCAGCCCCTCCTGTACGAGCGACATTGACGCGTGAACAGGCGCTACTGTCTCTCTCTCTCACCGTGTCTCTCTCTCACCGTGTCTCTCTCTCTCTCACCGTGTCTCTCTCTCTCTCTCCCTCTCTCTCCCCACGTGTCTCTCTCTCTCTCTCTCTCTCCCCGTGTCTCTCTCTCTCTGTCTCTCTCACCGTGTCTCTCTCCCCGTGTCTCTCTCTCCCCGTGTCTCTCTCTCCCCGTCTCTCTCTCCCCGTGTCTCTCTCTCACTGTCTCTCTCTCCCCGTGTCTCTCTCTCTCTCTCCCCACGTGTCTCTCTCTCCCCGTGTCTCTCTCTCTCCCCGTGTCTCTCTCTCTCCCCGTGTCTCTCTCTCTCCCCGTCTCTCTCTCCCCGTGTCTCTCTCTCACTGTCTCTCTCTCCCCGTGTCTCTCTCTCGCTCTCCCCACGTGTCTCTCTCTCTCTCTCTCCCCGTGTCTCTCTCTCTCTCGCTCTCCCCACGTGTCTCTCTCTCTCTCTCTCCCCGTGTCTCTCTCTCTCCCTCCCCATGTCTCTTCCCCAGCCATGCGAGGTGCACAAACTGGAGTCAGCCCCTCCTGTACGAGCGACATTGACGCGTGAACAGGCGCTACTGTCTCTCTCTCTCACCGTGTCTCTCTCTCTCTCACCGTGTCTCTCTCACCGTGTCTCTCTCTCTCACCGTGTCTCTCTCTCTCTCTCCCTCTCTCTCCCCACGTGTCTCTCTCCCCGTGTCTCTCTCTCTAACTCTCTCTCTCCCCGTGTCTCTCTCTCACTGTCTCTCTCTCTCCCTCTCTCTCCCCACGTGTCTCTCTCCCCGTGTCTCTCTCTCTCACCGTGTCTCTCTCTCTCCCTCCCTCTCTCTCCCCACGTGTCTCTCTCCCCGTGTCTTTCTCTCCCCGTGTCTCTCTCTCCCCGCGTCTCTCTCTCTCTCTCTCTCTCTCCCCGTGTCTCTCTCTCACTGTGTCTCTCTCTCACCGTGTCTCTCTCTCTCTCCCTCTCTCTCCCCACGTGTCTCTCTCCCCGTGTCTCTCTCTCTCCCCGTGTCTCTCTCTCTCACCGTGTCTCTCTCCCTCCCCGTGTCTCTTCCCCAGCCATGCGAGGTGCACAAACTGGAGTCAGCCCCTCCTGTACGAGCGACATTGACGCGTGAACAGGCGCTACTGTCTCTCTCTCTCACCGTGTCTCTCTCTCCTCGTGTCTCTCTCTCTCACCGTGTCTCTCTCTCTCCCCGTCTCTCTCTCTCCCCGTGTCTCTCTCTCCCCGCGTCTCTCTCTCCCCGTGTCTCTCTCTCTCTCTCTCACTGTGTCTCTCTCTATCTCTCTCTCTCTCCCCGTGTCTCTCTCTCTCCCCGTGTCTCTCTCTCTCACCGTGTCTCTCTCTCACCGTGTCTCCCTCCCCGTGTCTCTTCCCCAGCCATGCGATGTGCACAAACTGGAGTCAGCCCCTCCTGTACGAGCGACATTGACGCGTGAACAGGCGCTACTGTCTCTCTCTCTCCCCGTGTCTCTCTCTCCCCGTGTCTCTCTCTCTAACTCTCTCTCTCCCCGTGTCTCTCTCTCACTGTCTCTCTCTCTCCCTCTCTCTCCCCACGTGTCTCTCTCCCCGTGTCTCTCTCTCTCACCGTGTCTCTCTCTCTCACCGTGTCTCTCTCCCCGTGTCTCTTCCCCAGCCATGCGAGGTGCACAAACTGGAGTCAGCCCCTCCTGTCCGAGCGACATTGACGCGTGAACAGGCGTCTCTGTCTCTCTCTCTCACCGTGTCTCTCTCTCTCTCACCGTGTCTCTCTCACCATCTCTCTCCCCGTGTCTCTCTCTCCCTCTCTCTCCCCACGTGTCTCTCTCCCCCGGTCTCTCTCTCCCCGTGTCTCTCTCTCTAACTCTCTCTCTCCCCGTGTCTCTCTCTCACCGTGTCTCTCTCCCTCTCTCTCTCCCCGTGTCTCTCTCTCTCCCCGTGTCTCTCTCTCACCGTGTCTCTCTCCCTCCCCGTGTCTCTTCCCCAGCCATGCGAGGTGCACAAACTGGAGTCAGCCCCTCCTGTCCGAGCGACATTGACGCGTGAACAGGCGCTACTGTACTATCGCCAGATGCAGCTCATCAGACGCATGGAGCTCAAGGCTGACCAGCTGTACAAGCAGAAGATCATTCGTGGGTTCTGTCACCTGTACGATGGGCAGGTAGACACTCGCACTGAGACACAGAGACACACAGGACAAGAGAGAGACACAGACACACACACAGACAGAGACACAGACACTCATACAGGACAGAGACACAGACACAGACACACACTCGCACAGAGAGACACAGACACAGGACAGAGAGAGACACAGACACACTCGCACAGAGACACAGACACACAGGACAGAGAGAGACACAGACACACACACACAGAGACACAGACACACACAGGGCAGAGACATAGACACTCATACAGGACAGAGACACAGACACACACACACAGAGACACAGACACTCGCACAGAGACACAGACACACAGACACACAGACACAGGACAGAGAGAGACACAGGCACACTCACACAGAGACACAGACACACACACACACACAGGGCAGAGACACAGACACTCACACAGACACAGACACACACACACACACAGAGACGCACACTCACACAGACAGACACACAGACAGAGACACAGACACTCACACAGAGACACACACACACACACAGAGACACACACTCACACAGACAGACACACAGACAGAGACACAGACACTCACACAGAGACACACACACACAGAGAGACACACACTCACACAGACAGACACACAGACAGAGACACAGACACTCACACAGAGACACACACACACACAGAGACACACACACACAGACAGACACACAGACAGAGACACAGACACGCACACACAGGACAGAGACACACACAGACAGAGACACAGACACTCACACAGACACAGACACACAGACAGAGACACAGACACTCACACAGGACAGAGACACACACAGACAAAGAAACAGACACTCACACAGACAGAGACACACACACACACAGAGACACAGACACACTCACACAGACAGACACACACACACACAGAGACACAGGCACACACACAGAGACACAGGCACACACACACACGCAGAGAGACACAGACACACACACACAGACAGAGACACAGACACACACAGACAGAGACACAGACACACACACACAGACACACGCAGACAGAGATACAGACACACACACACAGACACAGACACACACAGACACAGCACACACAGACAGAGACACAGACACACACAGACAGAGACACAGACACACACACAGGACAGAGACACACACACACACAGACACAGCACACACAGACAGAGACACAGACACACACAGACAGAGACACAGACACACAGGACAGAGACACAGACACACACACAGACGGAGACACAGACACACACTCACACAGAGACACAGACACTCACACACAGGACAGAGACACACAGACAGAGACACACAGACAGAGACACAGACACACACTCACACAGAGACACAGACACTCACACACAGGACAGAGACACACAGACAGAGACACACAGACAGAGACACACAGACAGAGACACAGACACACACACAGACAGAGACACAGACACACACACAGACAGAGGCACTCAGAGACTCACTCAGACAGAGACACAGACACTCAGACAGACAGAGACAGAGACACACACAGACAGACAGAGACACACACACACAGACAGACAGAGACATAGACACACTCACACAGACAGAGACACTCAGAGACTCACTCAGACAGAGACACAGACACACACACAGAGACACAGACACACACACAGACAGACAGAGACACAGACACAGGCACACACACAGAGACACAGACACACACACAGAGACACAGACACTCACACAGGACAGAGACACAGACACACACACAGACAGAGACACAGACACACACACAGACAGAGACACAGACACTCACACAGACACTCACACAGACACACACACAGACACACACACAGACAGAGACACAGACACACACACAGACAGAGACACAGACACTCACACAGGGCAGAGACAGAGACACACACACAGACAGAGACACAGACACTCACACAGACACACACAGACAGAGACACAGACAGACACACAGACACTCACACAGGACAGAGACACAGACATTCACACAGACAGAGACAAAGACACACACAGACAGAGACACAGACACAGAGACACAGACACACACACAGACAGAGACAGAGACACTCACACAGACAGAGACACAGACAGAGACACAGGACAGAGACACAGACACACACACAGACAGAGACACAGACACACACACAGACAGAGACACAGACACTCACACAGACACACACACAGACACTCACACAGACAGAGACACTCAGAGACTCACTCAGACAGAGACACACACACAGACACACACACAGACACACACACAGACACACGAGACACTCACACAGACAGAGACACAGACACACACACACAGAGACACAGACACACACACAGAGACACAGACACACACACAGAGACACAGACACACACACACAGACAGAGACACAGACACTCACACAGACAGAGACACAGACACACACACAGACAGAGACACAGACACACACACACAGACAGAGACACAGACACACAGACACAGACAAACACACACACAGAGACACACACACACTCACACAGACAGAGACACAGACAGAGACACAGACACACACACACACACAGAGACACAGACACTCACACAGACAGAGACACACACACACACAGAGACACAGACACTCACACAGACAGAGACGCAGACACTCACACAGACAGAGACACAGACACACACACAGATAGAGACACAGACACAGACACACACACAGACACAAAGACACAGACACTCACACAGACACTCACACAGACACTCACATAGACAGAGACACAGACACTCACACAGACACTCACACAGACAGAGACACAGACACACACAGACAGACACAGACACACACACAGACAGAGACACAGACACACACAGACACAGACACACACAGACACACACATAGACAGAGACATAGACACACACACACAGAGACACAGACACACACACAGACAGAGACACAGACACTCACACAGACAGAGACACAGACACACACACAGACAGAGACACAGACACACACACACAGACAGAGACACAGACACACAGACACAGACAGACACACACACAGAGACACACACACACTCACACAGACAGAGACACAGACACTCACACAGACAGAGACACAGACACTCACACAGACAGAGACACAGACACTCACACAGACAGAGACACAGATACACACACAGATAGAGACACAGACACAGACACACACACAGACACAAAGACACAGACACTCACACAGACACTCACACAGACACTCACATAGACAGACACAGACACTCACACAGACACTCACACAGACAGAGACACAGACACACACAGACAGACACAGACACACACACAGACAGAGACACAGACACACACAGACACAGACACACACAGACACTCACACAGACAGAGACACAGACACTCAGACAGACAGAGACACACAGAGACTCACTCAGACAGAGACACAGACACTCACACAGATACAGACACACACAGACAGAGACACAGACACACACACAGACAGAGCCACACACACAGACAGAGACACAGACACACACACAGACACACACACAGACAGAGACACAGACACTCGCACAGACAGAGACACAGACACACAGACACAGACACACACAGACACACTCACACAGACAGAGACACAGACACACGCACAGACAGAGACACTCAGAGACTCACTCAGACAGAGACACAGACACTCACACAGACAGAGACACAGACACTCACACAGGACAGAGACACACACACGCAGACAGAGACACAGACACTCACGCAGACAGAGACACAGACACACAGACAGAGACAGAGACACAGACACACACACACAGACAGAGACACAGACACACACACAGACAGAGACACAGACACTCACACAGGACAGAGACACAGACACACACACAGACAGAGACACAGACACTCACTCAGACACTCACTCAGACACTCACTCAGACACTCAGTGAGTGGGTGAGTGAGTGGGTTGGTGGGTGACTAAGTGGGTGCGTGACTAAGTGGGTGGGTGAGTGATTCTCTCACCGTGTCTCTCTCACCCCGTGTGTCTCTACCCGTGTCTCTCCCCGTGTCTCTCTCTCCCCGTGTCTCTCTCTCCCCGTGTCTCTCCCCGTGTCTCTCTCTCCCCGTGTCTCTCTCTCCCCTTGTCTCTCCCCGTGTCTCTCTCCCCGTGTCTCTCTCCCCGTGTCTCTCTCACCGTGTCTCTCTCCCCGTGTCTCTCCCCGTGTCTCTCTCCCCGTGTCTCTCTCCCCGTGTCTCTCCCCGTGTCTCTTTCCCCGTGTCTCTCTCCCCGTGTCTCTCTCCCCGTGTCTCTCTCCCCGTGTCTCTCTCCCCGTGTCTCTCTCCCCGTGTCTCTCTCTCACCGTGTCTCCCCCCGTGTCTCTCTCACCGTGTCTCTCTCTCCCCTTGTCTCTCCCCGTGTCTCTCTCTCTCCCTGTGTCTCTCTCACCGTCTCTCTCACCGTGTCTCTCTCCCCGTGTCTCTCTCTCCCCGTGTCTCTCTCTCACCGTGTCTCCCCCCGTGTCTCTCTCCCCCTGTCTCTCTCTCCCCTTGTCTCTCCCCGTGTCTCTCTCTCCCCGTGTCTCTCTCTCCCCGTGTCTCAACCCCCCGTGTCTCTCTCCCCGTGTCTCTCTCCCCGTGTCTCTCCCCGTGTCTCTCTCCCCGTGTCTCTCTCCCCGTGTCTCTCTCCCCGTGTCTCTCTCTCCCCGTGTCTCTCTCTCCCCGTGTCTCTCTCCCCGTGTCTCTCTCTCCCCGTGTCTCTCTCTCCCCGTGTCTCTCTCTCTCCCCGTGTCTCTCTCTCCCCGTGTCTCTCTCTCCCCGTGTCTCTCTCTCCCCGTGTCTCTCTCTCCCCATGTCTCTCTCCCCGTGTCTCTCTCCCCATGTCTCTCTCCCCGTGTCTCTCTCCCCGTGTCTCTCTCACCGTGTCTCTCTCACCGTGTCTCTCTCCCCGTGTCTCTCTCTCACCGTGTCTCACCCCGTGTCTCTCTCCCCATGTCTCTCTCCCCGTGTCT